CCCCCCAGCTCTCCCAGCCTGGCTCCAAGCCCCATCCAATGGATCCCTATGGATCCTGAACACCATTTCACAGCCACTGCAGCCCTTGAGCCCCTTCCTACCCCCCCAGTCCCTCCGTGCTGGTGAGACCCAGCTCCAGCAGAGCCCCTCTCCTTGGGGAAGGAAATTATCACCAGCACATTCCAGGGGCTTCCTGGATTGAGCTCCTGCTCAGCTCCTGGTCCATCCCCAGGAGCAGCTCCATGTGCTCCAGCTGCTCATGGACACACAGGATGATGCTCCATCCTCACCCCCCTGCCTGTCCTTCCAGAAGAGCCTGGACCCTTCCACTCCAACCCTCCAGGCAGAGGAGTCTGGGTGATGCCAATAGGATCATATCCCTGCAGCCACCTCCAGCTCCTGCATTCCCCATTCCCTGGGTGCTCCCAGGGAATCCAACACACTGCCCGGAGCGGCTGGAATTCACAGAACCACAGACTCGGCGAGGTTGGAAAAGCCCTCTGAGATCACCGAGTCCAACCTTTGACCTCACCCCACCCTGGCCACAATTCCCTTGGGCTGCTCCTCAGGTGTTCAGTTCTGCCTTTTCCTTCCTTTTCCCCCCCCCCTCATATTCTCCAGCCCCTTATTCTGGATGTTGATCCTCTAAATATCCCACAGCCCGAGGAGTTGGTTCTACAGGATTCTGCATCCCAGTCTGGTGCCAGCCCACCAAACATATGTCCCCGCTCAAATGGAAGAATCTGTTTGGATTCCTTCTCTTATTTTTCAAATTCCTTCCTGGACTGGGGACAAAACATTTCTTTAGATACCACTCAGCACCTTCTGAGACACAAAACTTTCTATATATTCTCTATAACTCTGAAGATCAGAGTTGTTGTTGTCACACGACAACAATTATTCGAAGTGAACCCTCAAAAACCATCGAGGAAAGACAATAAATTGGTTTTAGACATTATTTTTTGTCCTTGTGGGTGCTAAGTCTTTAAACCAGTTGTTGCCTCTGGGAGGTGTTTTTTCTTGTTTTTGAGGAAAAAAAATCCTTTCAGTCACACCAAGATCCTCTCAGAGCAAGATAAAAACGCACAGGGAAAGCAGCAGAAATTTCGGAGAGGAGCTCCTCAGTTTTCTTTTTTAGTGGCAAATGTAAAGGACCAGGAGGTTTGACAAACACCCCTGAGGTCTTTGTTTTCCAGGTTTCCGTTTCACACCTGCCGGTGCTCACACCTGAGGTGTGGAAAACCAGGAATGATCCCTGCACGAGCCTCCCCCAGCCAAGGCTGAATTCCCTGGTTTCAGAGGATGATTCAGCTCAGCTGCAAAGGCCACCACTGGGAAAGAATCATGAGGGGGAAAAAAAAACAAACACGTGTTTTCCCTTTTTTTGTTTTGTTCCACAATAAGGCAGAAAAGGCAGCCTCGATATTTCTTTTAAATTAATAGTTTTAAGCGAGAAATAAATAAAGCAGGTCTGTGCTGTTTCTGCCAGAGATGAGTGAGCAAGAACTAATGAGATCTCCTGACAGATGAGGCTTCTCCAAGACTGTCCTGAGAAGGAATTTCATCCTGCTTTTAGCTGGTATTTGCCATTTATTGACATCAATATAGCCGAGTTTCCTAATTAACACCAGAAAAAAAGATGGTATTTTAAATTAA